AGACGGACGCGGCTGCTCAGGAGGAGGAAGTCGGGGAGGAGGCGCAGCAGGCTCGAGAGACGGATCAGCAGGGCGCCGAGGAGGCGGCACCTCGACGATCAGGAGGAGGACTAGGCGGAGCAGGAGGTGGAGGGGGACGCGGCGGAGCTCCCGCGCCCCGACCCGCAGGGTCCAGAGACGAAGCAGTGGACAACCGTCGGCCTGGACGAGTACGTGCGCGAGCACAGGGGGATCGTGCCAGGCCGTGGGGCGGTGGAGCTGCTGGGCGTCAAGACGCATATAGCTGCTGTGGACTCGGACAGCGGGATCGGGCGAACTCCCGATGTCTTTGTTTCGGAGATCTTGGAAGCCCGCTGGAGTTCCCTTGTCGCCTGCTTCCTGGCTCCTCCTCCACCTCGTCGTTCCTCCCCACCCCGTGCATCCGCCCCTTCCATGCCCTCCGACTTCCCGCCTCCTTGTGGTCGCCGCCTAGGACGGCCTCCAGCGACACCTTGACGCCCCTGCGCCGCCCGCCTCCCTGCAGAACGAGACGGCCAGCAACGTCCTCGAGGGCGTCGAGAGCGCCTGCGCGGAGACGAACATGGCTGCAATCAGGCGGATGCTGTCCTCCGGGGCCCATGTCTTCCTCTCCCAGGTGCCCGACAACCACCCCGCCAACAGGAGGGCGCTGGCGCGGCTGCACAAGCCGTTCGACGGCTACCATGGGCTGCTAGAGAACCCCATCGAGTGCTGCGCAGCCCACCAGGTGCACACCACCATGGCGCACGCAGCGTGCGAGGACATAGGGCAGGGATAGGGAGGGGGGCAGGGTAGCGAGAGAGGAGGAGTGCATCGGCGGTGAGATGGCGACGACGCTGACGTCCAGGAGCGTTCTCCCCTTGCTTCTCTATCTCTCCTGTCGCCCCCCCCCACCCCTTCCCCCGTTCTCCTGCTTCCCGCCCTCCCTCATTCTCCCAATGCTCTCCTTCGCCTCCCGCGCAGCTTCCCCCCCCCTTCCCCTTTTTCCCACCTTCCCATTCCCCCCCCCCCCCCCCCATACCCCCCTCTGTTATCATCCAACTTATGCCCCTCCTGCTCTACCCCCGCGCCACCCCTCCCGCCCCCTCTGTGTTCCATCCACTTCTCGCCCGCCCCCGACCCCTACTTGCATTCCGCCCAGCCCGCCCAGCCCCTCGATATCTCGCCCGCCCCTCTCCTGCGCTCGCCCTGCCGCAGGACAACCTCATCGGAGATGTGCATGCGCGCGCAGTGGTGCACCGATCGGTCTCGCACCACAACCAGGTTGCGACGGCGCTGGGGCAGATCCTGCTCGGCAGCTCCTTCGAGTTCAATGTGATCGACGAGCCGAATGAGCAGTGGGTCAAGCACACAGAGCAGGTCATGTGCTTCACGATCGGGAAAGACGCCAGGGGGTGCATTGACAACCGCGGGGATGCCGCGCACGAGCAGAAGGTGGCGAGGGGGGAACGGGGCCTCGACGCTGACGAGCTAGGTTGGAGGAGGAAGTGGCGGAGGAGGAAGAGGGATCGGTGGACCCCGAGGGGGGCAGACAGCGGAGAGGAGGATGCGGCGGCGGAGGATCGGGCTGGCGGGCGGAGGCATCGGTGGACCCCGAGGGCAGCAGACGGTTCGGCTTGAAATAACAGCGGGGCCGCCCCCCCCCCCCCCCCCCCCCACCTCTCCTCCACCCGTACCCTGTCCTCCTCCTCGTCCCCCCCCCCCCCTTCGCCCGTGTCTGGGGGTCTGGGGGTCTGGAGGCCCGACAGGTTGCGACTCCAGGTCCCAGGCCCCGCCCCCTTCCCCACCGCCCCTCTCCGCCGCTGTCGCCGCCGCCCTGCGAGGGGATGGGCGCCATTCGGGATGAGATCTCGAAGGTCTGCCAGTTCATTAACGGCGACGCACGGAAGCCTCGCATTATGCATTATGAGAAGAATTGCGGGCACTGCGCCTCCAAGGACGAGGCCGCGCTCAACGTCCTCAGCGCGCTGTTGGGGAGTGGGGTTCTGCCCCCACCTGGGCGCGTAGGGCCAAGTTAAAACGCGCGGGGGCACGTGGGTGAGAGCATGGCACAGCAGGCCCGCGCCGCCTCTTTACTGAATCCCATTCTGACTTCAGAGGAGGAGGAGGGGGACTCGTTAACGGGGGGGAGGGTGGGCGGAGGGCGCGGCGGAGGAGGAGCAGGAGGAGGACAATGAAGAACGGGCAGGGGAGGGATGCCTCGTCGGAAGGTCACCCTTCCCAACTGGATTAGACGCCGAAGCGGGTCGGCCTGGGCTCGACCTCCTCATTGTCCTCCTCCCCCTCCTTCTCCTTTGCCCCCCCCCCCCCCCCCTTCCCCCCCCCCCCCTCGTGCCCCTCTCCTCCTCCCACTGCCGGCCCCTTCTGTTCTGTTGCATATTCGGGGAACTTCGCCTGCCCCTAAAACAAGTGTCTTTTGGGGGGCCCGACGCGGGCCCGATGCGGACTCGACGCGGATTTGGCATGGATCCGACGCGGATTCGACGCGGGTCCGACGCGTCCGACATGGATTCGACGCGTATTCGACGCGGACAGGGCCGCGACAGGACAGACAAGGTCCCCGAGGATGCAACATAACTTCTGCGTCCGCAAGGCCCCCGGCATCATGCTTCGCGGCGTGGCCGCCCGGGCGCTGCCCCGCGCCTTCCCGAAGTAGGAGCGCCTCGCCGCCGCGGCCGACCAGGACGCGCCGCCTTGAATTTCTCCTTTCGTCGCGTCGTCGGTTTCTTTTGTTTCGGGGCACTGGGGTTCGGGGGGCGGGGCCCGGCGCCACGCGGGCCCGCCCCCTCCAACGCGCGACCCCTTTCCACCCCCATCCAACGCCCTCGCCCTCGCCATCCCCAGCCTCTCTCTTCTCGTCTCGTCACCCGCCTCTGATGTCCCGTTCAGCCGTCACCTCTGACGCTCCACCCTCAAACCTTGTTTCCTCTGTTGTTAGCCTGGCCGCGCCGCCCGCCCCGCCCCGCGCCGCGCGAGGATGCTGACGCGGTGGACTTCCGCAAGTACGTCGCCAGCAAAGTCCGCAGGGCGCGTTGTTCCACGTGCGGCAACGCGTTCAAAACTCGCATGCTCTGCGCCATGTTCGCGGGCCGCCCGGTGCGCTGGCTTTGGCAGCGGCTGGAACATCTAGACGAACAACGCGCTGGGCTCCTCGACGCCCCTGGCCCGGCAGCCGTCAGGATTTGGCGATCGATGGTCGTGAGGTTTGGGGTCTGGGCTCGCGTCGTGAGGTTTGGGGTCTGGGTGATGCTGACGATGATGATGATGCTGATGATGATGCTTAGGAGGAGGAGGAGGAGGAGGAGGAGGAGGAGGAGGAGGAGGAGGAGGAGGGGGAGGGGGAGGGGGGGGAGGGGGAGGAGGAAGGGGAGGAAGAGGAAGGGGAGGAATAGGAGCTGATTGTAGCACGGCGGGCCGGCAGAGGAGATGCTAGGAAGGACGAGCACGTGCTTTTTTCGTTCGCGGCCGCCTCGACCCCCCCCAGAACACGCCCACATCGCCATTGCACTAGCTATTCCGATAGCACGGGGGGCAACGATGGGCACCACGGCAGGCGATGGGCTTTCGCTTGTGTTTGGGTCCAACCAATTCCGATCGCGCCCCCGACCATGGTCGATTTGAAAATGAGTGCGGCGCTGAGGTCACCACCCCTCGGACCAGCCCGTTCGCGGAGTGCCAGCGGCGCCTGGCGAGCATGCTCGACGCCAGCCCCAGCCCCCCGGAGTCGGGGCTGTCGCTTCTGCGGTACCACTTCGAGGGCAACGAGACGGAGCTCCGCATTTCCAGGGGCCGCGTGCTGCAGATTTGCGCCTCCGCCTACGCGCAGCTCCACTGGAGGCGCGCAGCCCCCCCGTGTGCACGGGGGTTGACTAGGCCCCCGTGAGTAGGAACGACGGGGGAGGAGTAGACGGGGCGGGGGGCGGGCGGAGGGGGGATCAGGCGGACGGAAGCAGAGCTGCATTAGGCGGTGGACGAGGATGTTTCTGGGGGGCGCTTGCTGCCTGGGGGAAGCAAGGGCGGGCGGCGCGTCTCATACGCCCGCGCCCCCCCGCCCCCCCCCGCCCCCCCCCCCCCCCCCCCCCCACCCCGCCCGCGCGCACACCTTCTGCACCCCCCCTCCCCCCTTCATTTGGCCCCCCCCCCGTTTTTCGTTGCGCCCATCCCCCTTCGCCGCCCTTCCGCCTCCGCCCCCGCCGCCTTCTCGCACCTCCGTTCTGAGGTTCGTGCCCTGCGAACTTCGGGCCGTCGGTCTTGCGGTACTTTCAGCTGATCTCGCGACGTCGTCCCACGTCGGAATGCGTCGAGACACCCTCCCATTCTGTCCCTTGCCCGCTTTCTCCGATCCTCGCGTCGCCCCGCAGGTTTCATGATGCCCTTGGTGACTGGCCCGTTCGTCTACTGCTGCTGGCGACTACGGCGCCGCTGGCAGAGCTCCGGGCAGCGGTGAAAAACATTTATGCGGAGGACGAGTGCTGCTTGAAACCGAAGCTTGCCAGGAAGATGAGGCATCTCTGGGGGGCGGAGGCGGATCTGCTCAACGATGAGAAGTTTTGGCAGACATTTCAACTTTTCGGGCATTATGCGTTGGTAACCAACATGAGCGTCGAGCGCCTGTTTGCGCAGACGCATGGGAATTTGGACATCAGCGAACCATGCATGGAGCGCGTTCGAGTGAACGGGTTCCTCGGATAATGCCTGTCCGAGTTTCTGAAGGCTGGGGGGCGGGATCCACGTGAGGAGTACAGCGATGTCCTGGCGGCGGCTGGGGCTCCATTGCAGGCTACCGCTCCGACAGACCGCAGGTCCAGCCGTGCTGCGCCTGGTTGGATGCTGCGCGTCAATGAGACGGAGCGGCCCAGTCGGAGCCGAGTCGCCCCGCGTGACAAGCGACAGAAGGTTGCAGACAGGACGAGGTTGAAGCAGGAGTTCGATTTACTGAGCCGAGAAGAACAGGACAGGTGGAACACACGAGCGCAACAGGCATTTATCGCACGGCGCTTCTCGGACTCGTTTGACGCAGCCCCTCCCGAGGTTGCGCCTGCGGCTGCCAGCGCTGGGTCGGCAGCATTGGGCGGGCCTGGGGGAGAGGGCGCGATGCTAGCGCGGCTTTCCGCCAATGGGGACCTGCAGCTCGGGCGGAGTTCTTGAAGGGCGCGTTTGTGAAGGACGCGGGGCGGATCCCGAAACGAGCAGATGTCTCCTTGCGACGGGCCTGCTGGCAGCGACATGCGGGAGTGTGCCAGACCGAGGATTCGGCCATGTACGAGAGCATCGTTCGCAGCGGGCTGGCTCTCGCCCCGTACTTCTGGACACAGCAGTTGCAGTTCGTCTGGCTTCGGATCGAGCTCGCGGCAGCGGGCCAGCCGGGCGTGGTCAGTCAGGGAGGTTATTTTTGGGTCGCCTACATCAGGGGTAGCAGCCCACTCTTGACGTTATTCTTGGAAGGTGATGCGGGCTGCGAAGCGCCCTTACATCGTCTCGTCTTCTGGCTCTCGCACTCTGGAGGCACCCCCCACCCCTGCTACCCCGACGCCCTGGAAGGCTTCTTTTCTGGTGCCCCGCGCCACCGCTTCAGCGGGCCCTGTTTGTCTGCGACCGCCTCTGGGGTTCCCCGCCCTCACTCGCGACGCTTCGACTGGGAAGTTGGCCAGGGCGGGGGGGGGGGGCGCTCGGGGAGGAGCGCGGGCCTGCGACCAGCGTGGTCAGGTAGAAGAGAGGGGTTGCGACCACGCTCCCCGCCCATTCATACTTCCCGACTTTCCTCCCTTGTCGTCTCTCGCCCCGACTCTCTCCCCTGTCGTCTCCCCCCCCTCCCCCCGCCCCGCAGGCGACGCTGACGACGACCTGCGCGCGTTGCGCTTCCGGGCCGATAGCGACCGCATGTTCGTTCTGAACCACGTCTCGCTCTTGAAGAAGTTGCTGGGCGGGCGCCCCGCTGCGGCTGGGCAGAGCGTCAAAGTGCAGCGGATCGCCGCCGCGGCCTCTGTCGACCCCGGTGCGCCATTGGGCGTCAGTGTCATCTATGAGGTCATGCCCTCGGAGACTGCTGTCGACTGCGTGCTTCAGGACGGCTTTGGGTTTGCCTTGCGGGGGGGGCGAGGAGGGCTGGCAGGCGGCGTCTTATCATGGCGACGACGCCCAGCCCATGGCACGAGCGACAGATGACGCCGTTCAGCGCAGCGCATGAACGCGCGGGATGTCATTTTTTATACAGACACGCCCAGAGCCCCGCGGCAGAGGAAGAGGATGGGGAGGGGGGGGGGGAGGGACGAGGGAGGGGGAAAAACTTGCAACTACAATTCACCCAGGTGGCCCAGGCCGCTCGGCCAGGCGCGCCGCGAGCGCTGCGCGCCACGCCGCCTCGCCTCCGCCAGCGCGCGCCGCCGGCGCCAGCAGGAGGGCCGCCGCCCGCGGCGGCAGCTCGCGGGCCCAAC